TACAAATGTTGAACGAACATCAGCTTTAAATTTAGATGGTGAACAAGGTCGAACAATAAAACAAATTTCAATAAATGATAAACGAGATTTACGTGTACAATTTTCAACAGTCTGATTCTTTATTATTATTTTTTTCTCTCTTATATTTGATATCTAGTCAATCTCTATTAGGTTGTTTTATTTATCATGTCAGATATTTTCATTCAAAAAATTTATTATTCATTATACTTATTCGACTTTATTCTTTGTTTCTTTCTTTTTTTTCTTAAAGAATAAATTTAAAAGTGTCTTGACCTTTTTAGACAAAAGAAAACATATTGAAATAATTAATCAACATTTATTAGAAAATAATTTAATAGTCGAATTAGAATTTATTTTATGAATATTTTTCTCATTGAAGAAATATTTAGGGCATACTAAAACTAACAGTAGTGACATTTCAATATCATCCGTCTAGTAGACTGAAAGAAACTTTCTCTACTTATTTTAATAGAGAAACAAAAGTTCTATCATATTGCAACTAATATCATTAAAATAAAATTTGAATAAGATCTTTTTTTATTCCGATGTGTTCCAGTTCTATGTATATTTTGTTGGTAGAAATAAGATAGAGAAGTGCAGTTTTCATGATTGGAAAAATGAGGTAAATTTTGTTTGTATGAAAAGTAGAGAAAAAAAACACAAATGCGAGCTTTTTTCACAGATTTTAAACAATTTACTAGATAAGTTCGTTTTCAAAAGATCAATTATGAAAATCTTACACAAAACAAATCAGAAAAATCTGCAACATAGAATTCGATACATCGTTATGTTCTGTTTTTAGCGGTGAAAATAGCATTTCTTTATCTTATTTCTGTCAATAGTTATTTGAAAAAAAACGAACAAGTATTTTTTTTAATTAGCATTAATATAGCACTATATAGAATGAACGTTTCTTTAAGTCTATTATATGTTATTAAAGTGTCACTCCTACTATTTTGATATGATCTAAATAAATCAGAAAAATCTAGAACAACAACTATTATAAGAATTTTTATTCACATAAGATCACAGATGGTTCTAATCATTTACTTTTTAAATACAACAATATATGAGAGTAGACTGAATGAAATGATCTTTTTGAGATGAAGATATATCAAGGGGGAAAGTGCTGGCACCCAGCACCCTGGCACCTCAGCACCTGCTCAGCACCTTGGCACCTTTTCAGCACCTGCTCAGCACCTTGGCACCTTTTCAGCACCTCAGCACCTT